GAATGCTACAGAAGGTAAAATTTATTTCTCCTTCTTTCCCAGTACTGAGTGCAAGTCACACTTTTCTATCATTACTGGGAAAAATGGAGCTTCTGATCAACGACTCTTGGGTTCTCGCTCTAACACCTGCTTTCACCAATCAGACTTTTTGCTAAATGACAATGAATACCAAGCCTTTGACCTCAAAAAATGCACGTGATTTCCACCTTGTAATTCCACCACCCTGCTTAACCATAGGTACATCTTAGCATCTCAATTCATTAGAGCATGACTTAATGATGGCATTCAGGTGTGTGTTATCCCCAGATGCAATGGGATCAACAGTGTGAGAAAGAAATCAGACAGCATGTGTTTCTCACTCAGCCAAGCACTTCCGCCTGTGTGGTGTACTCAAGAGAGGCCTCTTCCAGTCCTCTGGGGGCTCCGCATCACATAAATACAACCTTTCTGCAAGCAAATAGCAAAGTTGCACCTGTAAACGTAACTGGTGCCTTCTCTCTCCATCTTGGGGGCAGTCAAACTTTGGGACCCAAACCCTATGTATCAGAAGCATTCACCTAGCAGAGAGCTGCTAGACGTGTATTTCACGGTTTACGCAGGAAAGGGGTGGTGGTTACAAGCAAGTGGTAAGTCCCGTGGCAAGTAGGAAGCAAAAGTTTCAGTGGTCTGCCTGCTTCCCACTGCTGGATCCTGGACTATCCAGCTTCAGAGCTACACCTGAACTGCCCGTAAGCCACCCGTTGGCTGGACTTGGTCCGTTCTTCTCGGAATAACATGATGTTCTCTCATCTCTTCTACATTTTTGACTATTTTACCAATAAATCGCAGGCAAAATTCATGCCAATGCCTTGCATTAAGTCACTCTCCAATGATGTTAAGGTTAAGTAATATACATTACAGAATCTTCTTCTTATGCCCACCAGAAACTGTGGTTACAACATGGACTTCATCATGTGTACTTCTAATTTACATCAACATGAGTTCAGAAACAGGTCCGATGCAAAGTTTAGCGGCTCAGTTAGCCTTCCGTAACTATTCTTTACTGTTGAGTTGCTGGACAGCAGTATGCTTTGGCAGATGGCAAGCAGAATTGCCACATTCTGTTTAATCACGGTTGGCAGTATAGTATGGTTTAATTAGCTTACTCTATGTAAAAAATGGGAGGAACTTCACTGTACACAACCATTTCCTCAGTTGACAGTAGGAATCTTTACATTTGTATGTGTATGTGTGTATGGTGTGTTTGTAGCAGCATATATTTGATAATACTTTTGTAAATGAAAAATACAGATGAAATTTTTTAAAAATTGAAAGGTATAGTAAAAATGTATCACAAAATAAAACACAAAATAAGGGAGCTGTGGGGGAAAGGAAGCAATGGATTTGATTTACAATGCATTAGATTCCAAGCCCTGGTGCCTAGGCCGAAGAAAGATATCTGAATGTAGAACTGCTGCTCTGATGTTAAAAGGGATAGAATCCAGCCTTCCGTTTCCTGCATCAAAAAAACCAAACAAAATAAAATCAGTGCTGTACTGAACCAAACAAGATCAACAGTGAGGCACAAGAGGATGGTATCTGAAAGCATACCAGGGATGACAGTGACACAGCTCAAGATGGCACATTGAGAGGGGAAGAGAGTGGGTGTGGGGAGATATGTGGCATTTAATGGAAGTCATGACTCATCACAGTGGTTTGGAGCTGATCTTGTCCTGGATGCTGATAAAAGCTTTTGGCCCTTTCAGCTTCCCCTTATAAATCACATCTAGTTAACCTGCAACAGCAAATCTTTGCTATCATGGCATTTACTCCTGCTCTACCTGTATTGTTTTTGAGTGCTCAGAACAGTATCGTACCTCGTAAAGAGCCACCAGCAGCTGAGGCCAAAGCTTAACGAAATATGAAACAGATCTCAGTGCTTGTTTCTGTTCCCTCCCCTCCACGCCCCCAGTTCTGTGTAGGAAACTCTCAAACAGCTCTTGAAGGGATGAGCTGCCAGACTAGCAAGCCTTTAGGGCTAACGATCTACCTCCTTCACCATGCTGCACAGAGCTGTGGACTTGGACAAAAAAACCCCAAACTCCACAAGAAGAGTCCAGTTTGGTAATAGCCTGAAACTTTGCTTTGCCTCAGAGATAAACTCCGTAATTTTTTACTGCTAAATCCACTGGATTTGGGCTTCTCTGCTTCATGTTCTGAACGGGAATGCTATCAGCCTTCAGATGTGTAGCTTGCAGTCTAAAGCTGGATACTGTTTGTTGGCACTACATTTAAGTTGCTTCACTTAGGCATATAAAATCTCAGCTGGCAAATGAAAACTATTCATTTTGGACAATGTAATTTCTCAAACAA